GTCTGAGGAAAACAAGTTCCTATCCTACATTATGTCATATAAATCAATTTAATATGGATTCCTCCATCTTCCATCTACCTAATTGAACATAAAGCTGTCAGCATTAACATTAAAAGATTATGTAAGGTCACGCCACTGTGTTGGAGACCCGGGGTTGGAGAATTGTAGCCAGCCGAAATTTGATACATTTTTAATATTTTTAATTGTTTCAAGCACAAGATAGCTTCGAACATGAGCCAACATGTGTTTAGGCCAAAATAGCTAGCCAGGCTTGGCTAATTTCGGGTCATTGAAAATGCCGCAAAGATAAGAAAACTAAAGAGCTCTTGAAAACTATTAACATCGCAACCATCACAACCCAATAACTTTGCAGGAGGTATAAATGTGGTTTTGTATAATTGTAGTATGACCATGCCCTGAAAAGCCCTGAAAACTCAGTTGACCGTGCCTTCATAAATTCGTGACGGAATTCCCGGGAGTGAGTTATAACTTACATACAAATATGCTAATTGAAACCATGGAAAAGTAAATCAGAATAAAATGGAATCATTTCAATAGAAAGGTTTAATCTATGGTTTACTTCAACCATGGAGGTATATAATCTTTTGAGCTCTTTTGGATACATGAATGCTTGAAACTCATTTTCGCAGGGTGGCATTCAATGCTGCCATGAATCAAATGAATCATTCCCGCTGAACCTTTTCATACTAATAGATAGTCTTGCGCACAAGGATATAATCTGCAAAAGAATAAAATCCTAGTGTTTAAATTGATTTGATTATTCCTATATCTTGAATTATTGTAAAAACAACTATGTTATTTGCTTGTTGCGATAATGACGACGGCTGTTTAATATTTCTAACAAACTTCATATCTTGAGGTCAATAAAGTAGCACCAATTTGGGTCAGTAATGACGTCATTTACTTAGATTCGGCGAATCATAGAATGAGTTTCTCTTTATGCGGAGTGATATTTGCATAGTAAGCAGGTGCTTGGGCTTTGTTATTCAAGACTGTGACGCTTTTCGTGTAGTTTGACGTGGCCACTACGTAGACATCTCTGCTATCCAGTTGAATTGCTTCAAAGTTGGTGACGAAAAGAACGTAACTGGTAAGCCGTTTCATTCACTAATATCAACATTGGCACATGGTCCTTTTGGGATGGAGTAAATTGGTCATTTTCACTGAAAATTTGACAAATTTCGAATCGGAATAGATTGATAATTTCAATGTCAGAAGAAAAATGGATGAAAAGGTAATTTTTTGAGATCAGATTTATCAGGAAGTTGTATTTTCATCAATCATGAATTTGCAGTGAGTTGCTTTTCGTTGAACATTTTTCTCCGTGTTGTTAGATCTAGGCCTAGGCTTACACCCCAGTCACATTTGTCGCACGGTGGTCGCAAGTCGACCGCAGATCAATTAAATCGGTGAATTTCTGCGGCGAGCGTAGTAAAACTACGCTCGCCTTGCGGCCGCCGTACGGCGAATGCAGATTTTTACAGGCCGCAGGGAAGGCGTAGAAATTATAACTCGGAGTTATAATTTTTGTTCATTTCTGAGGTCCCCGTAGAAATCAACTGGCTAAACAAGATTGAATCATTATTTGTCAATGTTCCACGATCACTTTTCATTTGATATTACATCCTAACCAAACCCGTCTGGCCCAGTTATCTACTCCCGTACTCGTAGATCTGGGCCAGACTAGCTCCAATGCAAAAAAAGGGGTATTTACTCCGGAAAAAACACACTGGTTTTTCAATGTATAATACGTGCTGATATAGGATACGTGCCGATGATAGGACGACTTCCCCTACATTCGGTCAGTTCAACAAATTGAAAAATCGTATTTAATGTCCACCATATTTCTTTCCAGTCTAAATACAACATAGATACGTCCGTTTTATAAAGTTCTCTACGTTTTGATAACAAATCTGTTGAACAAATCGTAATATTTGGAATGTATTGATTCCCGGGAAATGTATTTTCGTTCCATGAAAGTTAAAAAATTATCGCGTCACACTCGTGTTACGTCACATCACGTGACTTTATTCGGTGCGGAGAACTAACGAAATATTAACGAAATGTTGGGCCCATTTCAGAGCTGTCAAGTGTCCCGCGAATGGCGGGATTATCCCGCGAATTTGATCAAAATAAGGCTAATTCGCGTGTCCCGCAATGTCCCGCAAATGTAGCTTTGACCTCCGCGAATTTCCGAAATTGTTCCCTATATTGTGATTATCTTATCTTATATAAGAAGCTAAGTTTTTGCACTTTTGAGGAGTAAAGTTTACCTAATTTTAAGTACCTAGCATGCTGTTGTTTGGTATCAAAGGGTTCCACTTTCATTTTAATTACGAAAATAGGGATGTAGGTCACAAATAGTTCCAACGTTGGCCTTTTTACTACCTGTGTGACCTTCATCTCAGAACTGAGCAAATGTTAGCAAACGCGAGTTACAATAAATGGACGCTGATATCTAGAAAGGGTTTGTAGAAAAACAGGGTAGCGGGTAGTAAATCCTCCATGCTGGGTTCAAACTTGGAACCCGGTACCCGGTCAAAAAAACGGGTACCCAAAAAACGAAAAATACGAATATATAGCATAATTAGATTATGAGAAAACGTGTAAGATTTGTTTTGAATTTACAAAAATGTATGTAACATCCAAGTTTGAACCAAGCATGGAGGATTTACTACCCGGTACCCGGTTTTTTCTACAAACCCTATCTAGAAAAGTAACCTCATTCCCTATAATTTGATGTAGATTAATCGAACCCCTATATCATGGGCTTTCAATTTGAAAGCCCATGCCTACAGTATATGAATAGGTACATTTAAATATATAACATTATGGGGGTAAGCGTTTCATAGTTGGTCACGACGCCAGAAGTGCAAAGTATTGTTCCGAATTTTTGAATTTCGTGTTAGATTACGGTACTCACACCTGAAGCATGGTTTTTGTTTTTGATGAATTACAATAAAGTTTAATAATATTCCTATGCGTACGTATTTTGTGAAATTGTGTTGACGTTTATTTAAGTTACAATGTAAGGTGCATTATATTTGATTTATCAGTATCTGAAAGTTTGATTTAAGTACTTTTACACGCTTTTACATTAGTCCCAATCACGCAAATCCCTTGAATGTCCCGGGACATCCTGCAAATTTAGGTGGATGTCCCGCGAAATCCCGCAAATTTAGGGTACTTTGTCTAAAAAATCTGTCCCTCTATGAAGTTTTTTTGTGGTAAACCTGTTAACTGTCCCGCAATTAGGGTGTTTGTCCCTCGAATTGTCCCGCGAAATCCCGCGAATTTGATAAAAAAAATTGGCCTATTGGCGCAATCACGCAAATCCCTTGAATGTCCCGTGAAATCCCGCGAATTTAGTAGATGTCCCGCAAAATCCCGCGAATTTTGGGCACTGTGTCTAAAAAATCTGTCCCGCGAGAAAATCTTTGGAGGTTGACAGTACTGCCATTTCAACATCAATATGACAAACAAAACACCACATTTACGTGTAAGTTATGTACCCTTTATTTCAAATAAATACTTGGGTTTACATGGAGCCCGATGTTTTGGTTGGATGGCTAATAGGGAATGAATAATTAGTGATGATTCAGCGACATGTTTTTTCCGGAGTAAATACCCCTTTTTTTTGCATTGGAGCTAGTCTGGCCCAGATCTACGACGTCAGGAGTAGATAACTGGGCCAGACGGGTTTGGTTAATTACATCCTAGCACTATGAATAACATTTATAAATTGTCCCGACGTAAATAAAATGAAAAAAGTATTATTTATCAACAGAAATCTTAAATTCACCGTGCGGCTGCCGTGGGAAATGTGACTGCAAAAGTATGAGAGCGCAGAAATTCCATGGCGAGGGTAGAAATGTTACTGGCCGCAGAAATGATAGGCCGCACAGCGGCCGCAGGAAATGTGACTGGGGTGTTATGGTCCTTTTCATCCTATGATTGGTGTTTGTGTTGACTAAAAGTGTTAAAAATTCTCACAGGGGTTTGTCTGGAGGGTCGGGCAAGCCCTCCGATACTAGTCTACTGTTATAAAGAGTTTAAGGGAGCTCGATTTTGATGCTTCCTGAAATTTGTAGAAAATGATTGTTAGATATATCCAGTAAAAATATATGGAATCCTTTCAACAATCAACATGCTGATTCAAACAACACTACAGAGTAAAGTTACCCAAAATGGTAGCAATCCATCCACTAGTTCTATGCGCATGTGCTAAAAAGAAAGTTCTTCATTCCCACGATTCAGAACGATTCAAATTACTTTTCGGCGTTTGGATCGGTACCAAATGAAAGATTATTGCTAAGGAACGGAAAACATGTTTCGAAGATGAGAGTTATTTGTTTTATCACTAAAGGAAAATATTCCCGCAATATTAGGTGCATCATGGGAAGGGACTGGTGTGAAATAATGAACGCAAGTGACATCTATCTAGAAAAATATGTGGTCATTGCGCATGCGTTCATGTAATATGAACTAATCAAATTGCTGGATTGAACGCAACTGCGCATGGAACACATTTTCAGTTTCGAAACATAATTTCATGCATCTATTTTGCGTAGCAGTCGTTATAGGCTGTCCTTCGTTAAAAATAATATAGGGAAATGAACCTAAGGAAACAAAGAACTCTAGGAACTACCGATTTTTAGAAATTTTAAGAAATCTACTCTGGAGCTAATAATCGTGAGGTGAAAATTGCCATTATTTTCATTTTAAACACTTCTTTACATATTCTTCAGATTTCTCAGCAACTAGTGGATGGATTGCTACCATTTTGGGTAACTTTACTCTGTAGTGTTGTTTGAATCAGCATGTTGATTGTTGAAAGGATTCCATATATTTTTACTGGATATATCTAACAATCATTTTCTACAAATTTCAGGAAGCATCAAAATCGAGCTCCCTTAAACTCTTTATAACAGTAGACTAGTATTGGAGGGCTTGCCCGACCCTCCAGACAAACCCCTGTGAAAATTCTCAATCCAGATTCGAGATTGTCTTGATTTAGCCGAGATGATCCATCGGGTCTAGCCAATGTACTTTTCGGTAAGTTTACTAGTCTAACTTGAATATAGAGACATTGTTTGAAGTAAGTAAGTCTCAATTATAGACTAGTCTAGCTAGGCCAACAGGGGGAATAACCCCAGGGTTCAAAGATGACATAGTCGCTGATTAGTACCCTGCGTGCAGAGTCTAGTTAAACTACACTCTGCCTAGTAGTTACCTTCTTCTAAGGCCACTGTATCGTGGCCTTCCAGTAAAGATATATTCCTGCATGAACAACTGGTCATGTCGTAATCATAAAATTTGAAATCATATGTCCGCCAAACTCACAATTCCACATCACAATTTGAATTGCGAGTTTTGGTCTTATTACCTCACCAAAAATTCCAAAACACACATAAAGTGATCAGTGTATTAGTTCACATCTTCTGGATCGCTAACTTAGAATTTACAGCCACTTACTAATGTCAGACGTTAACGACATTTCGTCGATGATTAATGATTTATTTATATGGCGATTTTTAAAATATTCAATAAATTTATGACACGGCGGCCAGCTTTTTCAAATGGAGTTCACAGTATTCCAGGTGAAATCCCCTCTAGCCAAGTATTGGCTAGAGACTCGAGTAACCTAGTAGGGCTCAACGATTACATCAGAAGGAATGACCATATATAGATAGTCGATCAAATTTGGCCGACGAACACTGATTGGCGCGGTGAGTTCACAGGTTTATTCTAGTTTGAAAGAGTGAAGACGAAGCTCTCTTTTAAGAAGTGAAGTCAAACGAATGCAAATGGTAGCTGATTGGTGAAATCAACAGACAAATGACGTCATTCATTGGCGGGACCTCTGCTCGAGAAGGAATTTTCAATATGGCCTCTCAATTCAAAATGGCCACCATTTTTCATAAGAAATGTTATCGTTGATAACTCAAATACAAGGTGACGGATTTGGTTCAAAATTTTCTAAACACGCTTCAAATTATATGTTAATTTCTGGTGTGTTACAGTGTCACTCGTACTAGTCACTCGTCTATGACGTGTTGTATTTGTAAACTAGACGGTGAAAATTCTGACAAATGAAGTTGGTAAGTAAGAGATGTAATAACAGCAGCGTAACCAGGATTTTGATAGCAGGTACACGAGGTCGAACAAAACTAGGGGGATTCGGGGCATGCCCCCTGAAATTTTTTGATTTTGGACCGTTTGTAAAAACAAAATATTTTTCAAATGCTTTTTTTATTTTACAACAATTTATCTTTTGCTCCATCATTAAGGGTACTGCGTACCCTTGCATATGCCTCGTTACGCGCCTGAATTATGACTGTCATCTCTGAAGCTCTGGGGGTTTCCCTAGTAGTAGTGCTTTAATTGCTCACTTGGTATTTAACAGAATTGTATTTTGAGGTTATGTCACTATTTTGTGAATTGGCCCGATTTCTGCCAATAAAGGCCTAGCCTTACTGAACAAACCTGTCTAAAGCCAGCGGAGGCACCATTCAGAGACAATTTTAGGTATAACGGTTCTTTCCTACTCCAGTCATTGCGGCAGGATAAGAAACATATTTAAAAGATAATTGAATATAACTTTTTCCTTTTTCGTTCAGCATGCAGCATAATATGTTATTTGGAGTTCAGTAGAGAAACTTCAAATTGGTGGCTTAGTATTTTTATCCCACCGAAAGAAGTTCGAGGGGATATAGAGAAGCCGTCCGTCCGTTCGTTTGTCCATGTGTCCGGGCGATAACTCCAATACCGGTTGACAGATTTGGTTCAAATTTTATAGGCTTATGCCTTATGAGTGTAGGACCTCTGCTCGAGAAGGAATTTTCAATATGGCCTCTCAATTCAAAATGGCCACCATTTTTCATAAAAAATGTAATCGTTGATAACTCAAATACAAGGTGACGGATTTGGTTCAAATTTTATATGCTGATGCCTAGGGACAAAGGAGTTTCGCACAAAAAGAGATTTTCAAGATGGCCACTTAATTTCAAAATGGCGGCCATTTTTCGTAGAAATATGTAATCTTTGATAACTCAAATACCAGTGAACGGATTTGGTTCAAATTTTTATATGATGATGCTTAGGGACACAGTAGCTATGTTCGACAAAAATTTTCAAGATGGCCGCTTAATTTCAAAATGGCGGCAATTTTTCGTAAAAAACGTAATCTTTGATAACTCAAATACCAGTGAACAGATTTGGTTGAAATTTTATATGATTATGCCTAGGGACACAGTTGCTCTGTTCAAGAAATTATTTTCAAGATGGTGGCTGAATTTTAAGATGGCGGCCAATTTTCGTAAAAAACGTAATCTTTGATAACTCATATACCAGTGAACGGATTTGTTCAAATTTTATGATGCCTTGGGTCACAGTTGCTATGTTCGACAAAGAATTTTCAAAATGGCCACTTTATTTCAAAATGACGGCAATTTTTCGTTAAAAAAACATAATCTTTGATAACTCAAATACCAGTGAACGAATTTAGTTTAAATTTTATATGATGATGGCTAGGGACACAGTTGCTTTGTTCAAAAATGAAATTTCAAGATGGCCACTGATTTTCAAAATGGTGGCCATTTTTCGTAAAAAAAAATTGTGTAAAATTTGTACCCATCAAATGCAACAATCCACCTGCCCATTCCACAAAAAATGATCGTTTAAATGTTCATACAGGTATGTTCTCAATTTTTGTTGAACAGATACAAACCAAGAGTAAAACCATGTCTCTCGGGTCATTTTGTCAAAACTCAAGCAATTTGCGAAAATGTCGTCAAAAGATGGACTGTATTCTCATTGGCTTTTAATTTCGCGGGTAATTGCGTCATTTAAAAAGCTGCTTCTCTATTGGTTATATGTAAATCGTAAGCGAACATTTCATTGATAAATTAATTGTAGCATGTGAAGTGAACTTTCCGCAAAGAATCTGATCATATATGGTGTCTCTAATTATCCCATCGAACGAAGTTAGTGGGGATATAAGGAACACCCCCGTCCATCCGTCCGTCCGTCTGTGCGGGCAATAACTCAAATACTGTTGGCCCGATTTTGTTCATATTTTGTACACATACACTGTATACCCTATGGGGGTAGAAGTTCTGCTCGAAAGCCAATTTTCAAAATGGCCGCTCATTTAAAAATGGCGCCCATTTTAGTGCAGATTTTACAGTAATTTAGGTGCAATATGTAAAAGTGTAATAGCAGATGTTTTAAATGTAAAAAAATTATATAGGACATTAATAAAGCTAAAAATATAGGTATTAAAGAAGCACATGGCAGCCATCTTGAAAAATGGCGGCCTTTACTTGTTATTTTACGATTTTTGCTGTAACTCAAAAAGTAGTGGAGCGATTTTGTTCATATTTGGTATGTGAATACTATAAGCATGGCACACTGTCTAATGACACTTATGGTAGAAGGCAGCCATTTTGAAAAATGGCTGCCATTTTTGCTATATACTTTGTTTGTAAATATGCCAGCCATGGCTGTTGATGGGATTGTACTGCACGTGTATGACCCTCAACATTTACGATCATCAGTCTACTAACAAGGAAATCTGATGTTTAAAAATAGATTTCAAATGGTGGAAGGACTAGGGGGTCGCGAATATTTGACGACATTTATTGCTCCAAGGGTGGGGAAATTGATAAACGGGCCAAATTTTTTTTTGTCAATTTCCCCACCCCTGCCCGCGTGGGGGGTCTCACACAAACTTTTGAATGGTGCATTATTGAATTAAAATCAAAACAAACCTTGTTTTATGTGAGATACTACATTATTATTTGGAATCCACTTTAAAATAAAATTTAGTTCATCAATGCTGAACTCTGAGTGAAAATGAAATTAGAATGATAACAGTCTTATCTATACTGTACTTTGGAAAGTTAACTAAAATTCCTTTTCACTAAGAATCCCCACCCCATGTACAGATCCTGAAAGTTGGACTGAAAAACAAATGTGCACACATATTACTTTTAGGTAGTTGTATGTACCCGCCCTGCGTCTCGTTTATTCTTTATATTAAAATGACCACATAACTATGCTTCAAAAAGTTGGTGTCACTGACTTCTTTTTTATTTAATTAAAGCTAGAAAACATTATGATCCCCATGTCAAAGGAATAGAAGAGGACTACATAATGTGCATGCCTACAAATATACCTAAGACAGTAAACTTTCTTGATAAGTCATACTGTAATAACTATTATATTTTAACAAAGGCTGATAACATGCAAAAATCAATATTAGGATGTCCTATTAGCATTTAATAAGATCGCTCTAGGTTTATTATAGCAGTTACATGTAGTCCTGTTAGGAGCTGACGTCATTGTATAATTAGAAGAACGTCATCAAGATTATTTTAATAGCATCCTATTTTGGAATGATAAGTGTTCCTCCTACTGTGCATTGCTAATAAATTGAAAATATGTAGATAAAAATAAATTTGAAGGCAATATTAGAGCAATTGGTTCAAAGTCTTTATAGTGCCATGATAATGTTGATCATCTCTTTATGCACGCTGTCAAAAGATTGAAATATTGTGATACAAATCAAGGAAAATTGTGATTTACTGAAGTACGTAGTTGAGAAAAACAGGGAAGATCACTGGAGTGGTAAAATACAACATCTTTGTTCACAAGATTTCAGTTGTTCCGTACCTCAGACCTTCCCAGTGAAGCAATGATGAAATACAAAGTATTATATACAGTTCAAAACTAGGCTTGACCAATATACTATACAGCTTTCTGCTGCTGTGGTATGTCCTTTTTGGTACATACATGTTCAGTGAAAAATGAGGATGTAAATTGATATATTTGACTACTAAAACAACATTTTAATCATTAGATTGGTTCTTAGTCAATAATTAGCCAGCTCAGCTGTGTGGTATTTTAGCTCAAAATGAAATGTAGAATGATCAATTAAATAAGACATAGAGGAAGAACTTTAAATAGTTCTACCATCATCAATAAGCATTTGCTTTACTCTGCTTGCATACATAATTTATATACATAACTTTCACTATATTTTCAGTTGAGGAATGGAGATGGTGAATGAGCAGGGGGACGTAGCTGTGTCTCAGAATCAAGACATAGATGTGACGACATCAGGGATCAGTGTGGTCCATATGAACATTCCTAACCAACCTGTTCAGGTACAGTCAGTGATTCAGCAGCCTTCAGTCATACATGCTGCCGGTCAGACTGGTGTTCACACCATTCAGGTTTGAATGTAATATGTTCTAGGCATGGTTGAATGTATCACAGGGACTTCTTGGCAAGATTGAATACATCACTGAGTTCCATTCATAATTGAATGTGGCACTGTTTTATTGGATATATCACTTAAAATTCTAGGCTGGTTGTCACTTTAAAAGTTTTTGGCCTGCTTAAATTTACACTGTGAAATCTAGGATTGATTGAATGTTTCATTGGGAATATAGGGTTTAATTGAATGTATTATTCATTTCTTGGCAAGATTGATCGTATCAATGAGTACTTGATTTGATAGGATGTATAACTTAGAATTCTAGGTTTCATCAAATGTATTACTAAGTTCTAGATTTGATTGGCTATTACTGAGTTCTAGTTTTGACTGGATGTATAACTTAGAATTCTAGGTTTCATCAAATGTATCACTGAGTTCTAGATTTGATTGGCTATATTACTGAGTTCTAGGCTTGACTGGATGTATAACTTAGGATTCTAGGTTTCATCAAATGTATCACTGAGTTCTAGATTTGATTGGCTTTATTACTGAGTTCTAGGCTTGACTGGATGTATAACTGAGAATTCTAGGTTTCATCAAATGTATCACCGAGTTATAGATTTGATTTGCTATGTTACTGAGTTATGAGAATTCTAGGCTTGATCAAATGTATTACTTTCTAGTTCTAGATTTGATTAGCTATATAACTAAGTTCTATGTTTGATGTATGGCTATATTACTGTGGTCTCGGTTTGACCGGATGTAGAACTGAAAATTCTAGGTGTCATCAAATGTATTACTGAGATATTGGCTATATTACTGAGTTCTAGGTTTGACTGGATGTAATAACTTAAGTCTAGGTTTGACATGACTAGCCACTAGATGTGTAACTGAGAACTCTAGATTTGATCAAATGTATCAATGCATTTTAGGTTTGATTGACTATATCACTGAGTTCTAGGCTTGACTGGATGTATAACTGAAGTCTAGGTTTGACATGACTAGCCACTAGATGTATAACTGAGAACTCTAGATTTGATCAAATGTATCAATACATTTTAGGTTTGATTGACTATATCACTGAGTTCTAGGTTTGACTGGATGTATAACTGAGAATTCTAGGTTTGATCAGATGTATCAATGAGTTCTAGATTTTGATTGGTTATATTAGTGAGTTGTACGCTTGACTGAATGTTGAACTCAGAATTCTAGGTTTGGCAAAATGTATCAATGAGTTCTAGAATTAATTACTAGTTCTAGGTTTGACTGGATGTATAACTGGGAATTCTAGATTTGATCAAATGTATCAATGAGTTCTAGGCATGATTGAATGAATCACAATGAGTTCTAGACATAATTGAATATATCACTTGGAGCTGTAGACATGATTGAATATATCACAGCGAGTTGTAGGCATGGTTGAATATATCACTGGGAGTTCTTGGCATGATTGAATGTATCATTGGGAGTTCTAGGCATGATTAAATGTATCACTGGAAGTACTAGGCGTGGTTGAATATATCACAGGGAGTTGTAGGCATGTTGGCATGGATCTTGTTTAAATGTAATTGAAACTAGAATTATCTTGATTGAATGTTTCACTGAGAGTAACAGAATAACATGAAACTATCAGGCACAACTGCTGGCATGCGCATTTCTGTTTTGGCTGCATAAATCACCAAGCACAATACACAAGTCTAAACTGATTTTAAGAGAAAGATTAAGGTCATTGAATGTTGAGAGAGGCATAACTCTGTTTAAATACACTTGTTTTCATTTTTGTTAATAAGCAAACTCACTTACAAAAGTTAGCACATTCACATAAATGTGAGGGCGAAGAATGAATCATGACATTTTTCAAGTCATGTGTCATGCAACAAATTATATATAATAAGCGTTAATGTATCTTATTGTAATTATTGTATTTATCATTATTGTATCATAACGTCACATTTTAATTGAATTCTTAATAATCTACGTCATAACATTGTAGGTGACAGCAGTTGATGAGGATGGAGACATTGGCGAACATGAAAGACGACGCAGAGAGATGCTAGCAAGAAGACCGTCATACAGGTACGTTAGATTACTACGATATTGCTTGATTTTTCGGGGTTAGTAAACACCCTGTTGATGAAACCATTCCGATTTTACATGGTTTTGCTGAATAATTAAAATAAGACTTAACTGATATTTTTGTAAAATATACAGATGTTTCATGCTATTTAGGGGCGGGGTCAAAATATCAATGTTCATATGGAGACGAAAGTAATTTCGTTTGGACAACAACCCCCCCACCCCCCCTCTAGACGAAAGCTTAGGTCACTTCAAAAAAACATTGATTTAAAAGTCAAATGAGAGGCATAATCGTATCCTATTTGCCGGGTTATTATTACGGTGAATTAACACACGTTCGCAATTTAACTGCATTGAACTCTTCAAAAGGAGGAGGGAAAAGTACGGAATTTATTTGAAAAATGATCGAATTATCATCTTTATCTACCGATATTTTGGACCTATCACACAAAAAAGCTCACGAACTATTGAAAACAAGCCTTTTTATCAGAACATAGCGCCAGAAAAAGTGGGTAAGTCCAATTATTTTTTGTATATCAGATCCGAATTATCGATGTTTTTTTGGTCAACGAAAGTGCCCAAAAACCCCCTCCCCCCCCCCTCGCGAAAGTACTTTTGTCTCCATATGAACATCGATATTTTGACCCCGCCCCTTAGGTTCATGGGTTCATGCAAGTGATATTCATTAAATTAACCTGGATAAATAGAATTCTCTTTTAAAATTTCAGATTGATGTAAAAAAATATTTTTGATTCCTTACAGCTATTCCATGAGACATGTATTAGTTCATTACAAGGTTCAGAAAAATAAATGAGTGTTCAGATTGCAAACTTTTAATGATTCTCTCAAAATTGTATTCAGAATTTGACTTGCTTTTTCCAGGAAAATTTTGAATGAGCTATCGTCAGACTCTCCAGCAAGTATCTCACTAAAACAGGTCCAGGAAGAAAGTGACAGCCAAGATAGTCAAGAAGAAGCAGGACTGCAGACCGTACAAACAGGTAATATTTTGTTGAATTTGAAGTTAGAATTTCTCTTGTGTACAGGGGAATAAAATCTTTTAAGCAATATTTGCAATGATCATTTGAAGGGTATTGGTAGCAAATTTACTCTAAAAAATCAATCCATTTTACCATTCAAGTTTTCAATGTTAATTACATTCTATTATGAGCCTTTTACCACATTTGTTTAAAATCTCATTGAAGTGAATAACTGCACACAATCTATTATAACATTAGTTCAAATTTCAGCTGTTCCTTTTATTTCTAACAATTATAAATAATACATTTAAAAATATGCAAGTTATTCCATAGTTAAAATAAGAATAACCTATATAGTGTATGTGTTGTAGTGACTATCCCACCTGGTTCTATACAGTTGGCTACAGGAACTGGTGACGCCCCAACCTCCATGCAGACTCTTACAATGACAAACTCCAGTACTTCTAGTGGTATTGCGGGCATTGCAGGGGGCACTACAGCTATTGTACAATACGCCAGTGGCCCTGAGGGGGGACAGTTTTTCATACCAGGTACAGTTTGTAAAAGTATACTCTTGTATTACTGTATAAGTGGAATTTAATCTGAGTGGTTAATTTGCCAGATGGCCAAATTTTATCATTTTCCCTAATAACAATAAAGTTCCCATTGGATAACATTATGAAATGAAGATAATATTTCGGACAAATAAGTTTTCAAACCTGGCAGAAATTAGGCACTAGGCAAATTAAATGATTTTGGAAAATTAGCACTTATACAGTATTGCTATCACTCTCAGTCAATATGATATTTTCCTTGGCCAATATCATATTTTCCCTCGGAATAAAAAACATATTCCATCCCTCCCATTAAATAACCCTGTATATTCACTTGAATATTAACACAATATACGGAACTCGTTATATGTTTATGAACCTTCTAATATTTTTGAAAATATTTCTTTTTTTAGCTGGCAGTGTACAGGCTTATCAAATAAACGCTAATCCATCTTTACAAGGAGGTGTTGTCATGGCAACAGGTGGTTCGTTATCAAGTGGCCAACATGTTGGGGAGGAACAGTCAAGAAAACGGGAACTCAGACTTCTAAAAAATAGGTAGTTAGACACATCATTTACATTTATTAGTCAAAACTCAAGAATTGATTCATATTCAATAAAAAAATTATCTTCAGCAAATTTTATGAATACGCCTTCCCTGAATGGTAAAGCATTAAGGTCCTTAATATTTGTCAGTTACGATACTGATTGTTTTGTGTTGCTTATTCAGTTAAACTTACATATACCAAATTAGATATTGCAATAATGCAGTAACAGTGTCAATGCCTTGTAGGCAGTTCACTATATAAAGTGTTATATGTGTGGCTAGTATTGCTGGAAAAACTAAAATAGAAGCTTTGTTCAAAATTAGCTTTCAGATTATTTGGAGGAATAAATTCAAATTGAAAGATTGCCATTTTGAAATGCTAATGTTATTGAAGTTGGCAAAAGTATGTCTAGTCACCCCAGAATGGAAATAGTTTCTTTCCTGCTTAAATGGGATCTGTGTCTATTTCTGGTTCTAAAATACACAAAATTAAATGAAATTCTGAATAGCCTTGCAGCAACTACAATAAACTTCACAGACCTTCTTTTCTGTAAATATTAGAACTTTAGAAAAAAATTGTTCATGAAATTATCGAGGTGCATATATTCCTTATAATTTACACATGTTATGCCCCATACTTGGTGAGCAATTTTTTCAAGTCTAGGCATTTTCTGGAAAGACAGTTATATCACTGTCTATTGTTGGTGCGAATTTTAGGCTGTTAGAAAAAATTGGATTATTTTAGACACAGAGCTCTGTAAATCATTAGCTATGAAGTCCGTTTATTAATAAATGTGCTTACTTGCAAGAGATTTCATGTGAATTTATGCACAAAACTTGATGTATAAATATTTCAGCGGTTATAAATCAAGCAACATTTCTGGAATTATTCATGTTTCTGTGTTTCAGTCAAGCAGCTCGTGAATGTAGGCGCAAGAAAAAAGAATACATAAGATGTTTAGAAAACAGAATTGCTGTCTTAGACAATCAAAATAAAACACTTATAGAGGAGTTAAAATCCCTGAAAGAACTATATTGCCAGAAGGAATAGTTAACACCTGGCTACAAGATTGTACATCTCCTTATGCATGTGGCTAAGAAGCTTTATTTTCCATGGCTGAGTGTAACATGTGGAAACACATATATTATTATTATTTGTCTGTTGTGCATCTGTAATAGAGATTTACGATACATGAAATCTTTTGCAAAACAATAGCAACTTTAACGATGGTGCCATAATGGTCAAGAAATGACATAAATAATCAATTTCATTACTTCCTAAAATGACTGCTTTTTCAACATGAGAGTGAGACATTTCTTTCTCGGCCATTGTGGCATCTTTGTTTGGGCAACTTTGTTGTATATAAATGCATGGATGTCTCGTATATTTCAGAGACGCAGCACGTGAGTGTCGGCGGAAGAAAAAAGAGTATGTTAAATGTTTAGAAAATAGAGTGGCGGTTTTAGAAAATCAGAACAAGACTTTAATTGAGGAACTCAAATCTTTAAAAGAACTGTACTGCCAAAAAGAGTAGGGTAACTATGAGAATTCGATGAAAGATTTATGAAAGTTGTATTGTCATAATGGGGTCGATTACACAATCCTCCATGTGCTGAAATGATGTCTCTCAGATATATATTCACATATAGACTGAGATATTATTTGGGATGAAAGCCCTGTGCAAGAAAGCTGCTGGATTACTCGATATGCTTTGACATGATTGGTTCAATTCTGGCACAAAGTTTTTCTTTATAAGAGAAAGTTTGTTTGAATCCCAGTTCAGATATTATTCACATTTTCGTATCAGTTGTCTGGTTTTAGTTCATTGGTTCAAATGTTTGTGTTGAACACTCTATATTGAAGTGTAGTGAAATATCTAAATTGTCAGCAGTGAATTTGGATGTATCCAAATAGACTCTCGCAGATAGGCTTATATTATATGCCAGACTGGAGAACCAGCCATTGAAAAATAGTCACGACTCTCAAAGGAACACAACAAAATCTGTGAAAATGGTGCATTTCATGATTGATTGAAAAAAATATTGTCCGTATAGTGTCTCTGTCTCATGTATTTTCTGCCATAATATCTCTTTTTTTCAATTCTCGGGGATGTCTTATTACATATTTTCTTGAATGATGTCTTCACATAGGTTGAGAACCTGTAAATGTGATTTGGGACTAGTTTATCTTGTTTCATCCATCAAATAAGCCCTCAGTAAGTTTGTGTGATAAACATGCAATCTGACGGTCATAAGATCAGTTACCATTGGAAGAGACTGAATGTTCATTGTTCACATCAGCCCTTTTCTGTGGAATTTTTTCACCTCTTTCAAATGTATGATATTCATGTCAAGCGTTCTTGGGCACTATAATTATGGAAATTTGAAAGTGAAAAACAGAAATGTTAGATATTCACAAACATTTTAAAATAAAAAACAGTATTCAACCATCATAGAGTGTGTTGCTCATAAAAGTGTTATAAGAATAAAGTATCTGAATGAAATGTGATAAAAAAATTCATGATTTATTCTATGATCTGAGTTATAGTGAGCACTGATTTGGCCTGTGTGCCAGAATAACAGGTTTCACTGTATGTAGATAAATATATGAATTTCTTCCGATAACGCAGTACAGAGTGAAGAATAAGAAAGTTGGTTAACACCATGCGTGTGTTAGTAGAATGGTGTTTTTTTAACTTTTTGGCCTATTTGTAAAATGTTTTGGTCATTTAACACATTATCCATTCTACTCTACTTATGTAAATGTAGATGTTTATACACATATTTTAACATGTTAACAGATACACTGTATTAAAGGAGCATTACTGTTTAGTGAAGACCAACAATTTTGATCGTCACTACTGGAATTCTGGTTGCCAATTGTGTTAATTAAAGATTTTTTACATTGCAAGCTTTTATATTATCATCTTTTGTACTTATACCGATGGATTTATCAACTATTTTTCCATTTTGTTCACAATCGGGTGTTTAGTTGAAACATCTTCTTTTTAAAGCCTAAGTCAATGTAGATTAATTTAGTTTAAACCAAAAAATGATATTTACAGTAAAACTTGTCTAATAAGTGAATGATAAGTTGATTTAACTAAAAGTGTACACAATAGACCAGATGTGTTTAGGTTTGGGGTGTTTAGATTTGAGCCTGTGATAATATTTGAACCATTGTAGTATTTGGAAAATGAGGGCCAATTGCTATACATGTACAAGATAGTTTTGTAAATCAAACAATATGGATTGAATATTAAATTGTATGACATCGCCTTATGGTGTTCAATTTACAGCTGTGCTGAAGTTGTATTGGTGTTCACCAGAGCCATTGTGTTTGACTTACAGCAATGTTTGACTTACAGTTCAGAGAATAGGTTTAACTGTAATATTTCTATGTTCTCAAAAATAATTTTAAACATATCAATTTATAAGTTACATGTTTACACTCTATTTCTGTACAGCCTATTGCATTCAATGTGAAGTGTTGAATTATTACCATTATTCAGACAGCCAATGTGTGTTATAAACAAGACAGGGCTCTGGCTAAAACATTCCGATACCTCACACCTTTTGAAAAACATACTGTGCATGGGGACTAAGGAACTGTTCCACCGAAGATTTTTGATTTTCGTTGGTACCCCCCTTTGTTAGTCTCTCATTTTATAGGAGAGAGTATAATCTTCCCTTGATGGAAGATGGGAGGGACCTCTGATTTAAAGAAAATACAACTATTTTTTAATTTTTTATTTGTTTCAGTTTTAGCCAAAGACCCATGTTAATCTTGTTGAACAGCATGTTGAAAAGTTGTTATATTGTACATTACATGTAGTTTTATCATGTTGTATAAAATAAAATGTTAAATATTTTGTAAGATAATTATCTGTTTAGTTTTTATTTGAGAAAATCTCTATAAGACAGTAAATGACCCACCTCAATGTTCAAATTCTAAATCTGGTTTCCCCCAAAAAATCATCTTGCCAAAATTGAAAACTCACTTACATGATTTGAATGGTTGCATGGAAAATCAAATCAATGTTTAGTTTTAGTAATGTCATTAAATCAACTGAAGAATTGTTTGTTTGCACCGTTTTATTTGGTCATTCATACTTAACAAATATATACACATATAATATATAGATACACGATTTATCACCATAATATAATTTGACAGTGTTATGGTATCACAATAATGTATGAAATGGTCCATTTTATCGAATAAAATCAAAAAATGATAAACATGTTATCAGAAAGCCTGGCCTGTCTTGGATATAATCAGGAATATAGTAGCACTAATTCATATCATCATCGACAGTTAGCAGTTTTATTAATTTTCATGAATTTATGGTTGACTCTGATGAGGTAATAATGGCTCCCTCTCATCAATATGGACCAATCATTTCACAACACAAAATCTGAGTTTACGACAGTCTGCTCTGAAGGGTTCTTACAGGCTGCCCTGTTAGCGCTGGTCACCTCTTAAAGGATTCATATCATTTTTGTTTTATTTGGAATATTGTCTACTTAAAGGACAATACAAAAAATCTATATTTTGATATTTTCCCCAAGGTGTCATCAATTATATAAAGCTAATTCATTTTAGTATTAAAAGATAAAAAACTAATTATATATCAGATGACACTAATTCCAGCTTTTAACTAGACAACAGCAACGCCAAAGCGTACCAAATCCCATCGAACAGCAATGGCTGGCATTTTTACAAACAAAATATATAGAAAATACCATAAGAAAGGCCACCATTTTCAAAATGGTTGCTCACTAGCCAAATTGTCATGAGAAAGAGTAATATGCCTTTAGCTAGGCACATATAAATTTCAAAACAATTGCACACATGTAAATGTCGGCCATTTTTTAAATCCTACTACCCAAAATGTCATAAATCAGTGTACCATACTTATGAGTATTATTCACGTATTAAATATGAACAAAATCACTCTATTACTTTTTGAGATATAGCAAAAAATATAAAATAAAAAAATGGTCCCCTACTAGACGATGTGCCATGCTTATAGTATTCACATATCAAATATGAACAAAATCGCTCCACCATTTTTTAAGTTACAGCAAAATTCATAAAGGCCATATTACTATTAAACTTTTATATAGAGTACCTAAATTACTGTAAAATCGGTACTAAAATGACTGCCATTTTTAACGAGCGGTCATTTTGAAAATCAGCTTTCGAGCAGAACTTGTACTCCCACAGGCAGATAGGGCACATGTGTACAAAAAAAGAACAAAATCGCCCCAACGGTATTTAAGTTATCAACCCGACGGACGGACGGACAGACGGATGTAGGCGTTCCCTATTTCCCTCCGAACTTCGTTAGATGGGAATGGATAATTATTCATTTTTTAATTCAACATAATTGTAATAAAGACAGTATAATAAAAGTGGAATGTAAAGAGTCAAACTTTAAGGTAGGCAGGGTATGATGAAAAATCTCGGCATTTTACATGTAGTTTCATCCCTCCCTGTCCACCTTAAAACTTTTGATATAAAATAATAACTACATATAAAGTAATGACTAGATTGTCTGTCATTTGTGACAATGTGTAATTGGGTAAATACTTGCTACACATGAAAATGATCTTTGTGATCAAACTTATTGCACACTTTTTCTACATTTTCTATCCATTCAAAAATGTGCCGAACATGATAAAACATTTGATTAACATCAACAAAATGTTTTCTACAATAAATTTACAGTTTTAACACTGAAATATGTTGTCTCTCAATATAAGGCATTTTAACAATAAAGACATAAAAATAAAATTGCACTGTAGACAGAACCTCTTGTATTTTTCACATTCCTTTGGATTTGACATTTGAATGCAACATCTGATCCACAGATATGTAACAACTCCTGGCAATTAGGTCGAGGCGACATATTGTCGAGTGGTGATGCAGTCATGTTTCTTGGATTGTGATTCGTTAAACAAAGATCACATGACACAAAATATATTGATGATATTTCCACGTGATGCTCACTGTTTATTCACATATACAAATTAAACTTTGTCTGGAAAATGAATATTTCCAACACTTCAAATTTTAATATACTTCCTCCTCCAGGATGTGGCCTCATTCATATGTATATGCAAGCCTTGTTTTTACTTAATAAATATTTCCTCCTCACATTTTACTATCTCTCTTCCAGAATAATAATAAGTACATTATATATTGTATATATTAAGATAACAGAAATAAAAAAACATATTCAGTAAATAATAAAACAAATATTTCATTCTATTTTTGGGAATACATAGTACAGTCAATCCTCAAAATAGATATTGTTATAATATCTTAATATATAAAGTTATTAATATTGCACATTGCTTTATATTTTATACTATTTCTACAATAAATATCCTATATTGAGTAATTAATCTTATAATATATGAGTACGGTGCTCAACTTCATAGTGCCTTTAGCTATACCATGCTAACTATAACTAAACATGGTAATCTACCTTTAGTTTTTTCATATGTTTTAAGTATGGATTATTGATGCACATCTGAGACTAAAATAATATGATTCTTGATGTTCTTCCACCTTGGTTATTTCTGCTTTGTGTCAACCTTCTTTGTTTTAATTATAACATACAAATGAAACGCCACCGGGTTTCTTTCACAAATTTTAGCATGGACTAGTGATTTACATTATATGTTTCTTTCGTTGAAGTCACACTTGTTTTTTGACACTTATCTGATTTTCTAGCATAAGGCCATTCAAAGATAACTGTATGCTTAACAGCCTGTTGTCTTGCTTCAAGACCCTGGACCCCCCCCCCTATCTTATTTTCTAATGTGTTGGAGAAGTGGATAAGGGTGGTCCACAGTCTTGAAGCAAGCCTAAACATCCTGTTGAGTCAGCAAACACATATTTAACATTGAATGGACTTACTAAGCTAATACATTTCCATCACATTTGAAAACACGACCAACAAGAATATTTTTAAGTGCTCCACTCTGAAGGTGTTCCACTTACAAAGGATCATATATTAAGTCAATTGTCATGGGACTCTGAAGTGTTCTACTTAGAGGTGTTCCACTTTACAGTTTTTACTGAACAGTGAAACCAGTAAAGTGGAACACCTCTAGAAGTGGAACACCTCTGTAAGTAGAACACTTTTCAGAGTCCCAAGACACATAGACTTAATGTTAATGAACCTCTATAAGTGGAACACCTCCCAAGTGGAACACTTACTAAAGGTACCAAAGGTGTTCCACTTTACAGTTTTTACTGTTTATTGATTGTTACATTGTTAAAGCCAACAATTGGAATGGTATACTAGGCTACACCATAGCTTCAACACTGATACATTTGGATGTCTAACCAACTTTAGTCTATTTCACAGCCTAAAAGTATCACATGTTAAGAAGCTTGTAGAGTTTTTTTACTGAATCTATGCACAAGACTGTTTGCACCCATGTCCAAAATAACTTTCTGTGAAATTGCAAATACTGTACAAAAGGTTACACAAGTCAGGAGTTTCACTAAAATTTCTCACAAGCTAGATAAATGAAAACAACAAGCAAAATTAATAGAAATCATATCAATTTAACATGGAAAAGTTGAAAAGTCCCTAAAAACAAAGACAATTTTGTGAAAATCTCCTGTTGCCTGCTGTTAATGAAACCCCTGCAAGTATACCCAAATATCAGATGATTTTTTTGTGACAGCATTTAAATATCAATTGGTTCTTTTGTTCAGTTTTATTTTAATCATTTTTTGAGATGGACATTGTAAAATTGGTAGATTGTGCATCTGAATGCAGCCAAACCAAACATATCAGTGTTGAAAGCTTGATTAATATATGTATTACATATAAAATACTAGAATTACTTTAAAATCCTAACCAACAGTCACAACATTACTAGTGGTGGTCATATCTGTAAAAAAGGAATGTGTTGAATTTTCTACGAGACTTGCATTGCCATCAGCTTTCAAACAGTATGCCATCTCACGTCCATGATTACATGTTACACCTTGTGCGAGATTATAGATCCACATCACCATACCTATAACACACACTAGAGCGCCAAACAATGCGCATGTAAGTGGCCCGATGTTTTTCCGACATAAAATTGGTTCCTGTTGTAGTTTCATGACGCAGAGCGGAGGAATGATGTATGCTAATGGTGCAGCATTCAGGACTCCCTGAAACATCAAAATAAGTTCTAAGGCTTTTCAATAATATTTTAGCATATTGGAATACTATACTACATGTACTAATGGATTAATGAAATGTAATTCTTACAATGGTGGGATACACAATTTATTCCAATTGGGTTAAGAACTCAAATAATTATAATATAGACCGATACAAAAATATAAATTTTGAAAACACTGTAATCAACTGATTATACATAAACAATTTGAATATCATGAAGAGTGATAAAAATGTTGTTCTAAAAATAGCTTAGAAATTTTGAATAGACTATGTATGTGTATTGGTGTATTGTCACGTTTTATCATATACACATGTATTGTATATATGTTTAATTTGCAAATAAAAAAATAACAAAGCGATTATACAATGGCCATCTAATTTGCTTTGCTCAAAATAAAAATTCATTATAATAATATTCAACCAGTCTCTAGATAAAATTTTTATTCAATATCTCCATAAATATCAATATTATAACTTTAAATATTGTGAATACTGAATTAAGATATAGGAAAACGCTCAAGTACAAAATTCTTCAAAACCACCAATAGACTTTTTAAACTGTAGCTCTGTCCCCGTAACATGTACTTACATTAAGTTCCAGAACGATTCCAAGACAGTCGGTTAACATGGAGATTAACACAGTAGTTACCACGACAACAAGTGTGATTGTAATGTGACGCCATAATGGTTTAGGAAATGATCGGTTGGGGAACACTGCAATTTCAATCACCTGCATATGAAATAAAAATCAATGTTTATTAATACCATAGCCATATTAACATTAATATTTTAACTAAACTACAAACAAAGCAATAACTTGCGAAATGTCACTACCTGCCATTTGATACAGACACCAAACACCAACAGCTGACCACCAACTGCCAAAGACCATCCACAAAAAACAATTGGAGACTATAACGATATGTCAAATAGTGCGTCCAATTACTCAGAGTAACGTGTGACCCATTTGATGGTTTCCAACTTCAAAATAATTTTCTAATATTAAAAAGGTGGCAGGATTTATTGGAAAGATCTATTGGTGGCATAATTTACCAGATTGATGATTTGTATCAAATGAACAATTTTATTATGCATGTACAAAGGGTTAATATTACCTCACGGGTTACGAAGCACTCTATTGGGAAAGTCAGCATGATAGTTATAGCAAAGATGACTCTAGCAGCATTAGCAAGGTCATCTTTATGACAGTAGTTCTCCAGTACATCTCCTGTAAAAGCAAATGGATAGATGCATTGCTTAATGCATATTCAGTACATGCAGATGACTTGTGAGAGCAGAAAGATAGACGCGTATGACTATAAATCAAAACAAAATCAAAAAGGTTCAGTTGACTCTTATGAATCTAATAAACCCTGTTAACCCTCATGTGTCTAATGGAAAATGTTGTTTTATGTAGTTATGTAGTTTGGTAACTGACATACTTGTAATGTCATCACATGCTAAAAATAGCAAAAGTGTAACCGTTTGTTACAGGTATCAACACTGATGTCACTGATTCATGAATGAAATTGAATTAAAAATACAAAACAATAAAAATCATAACAGTACATGCACCTCCAATTATCCTTGTGAGAGTGCTTTCTTGAGTTCATAAATTGAATGCACAATATACAAAACATGACAGTACCTTCAGTTAGTCCAGTGAAAGTGATATATCCAGTCACTGCCAGGGCCAGAGTACAAAGCATGGAGAAGATAACACTCAGGTGCGTTACGACTTGCCAGTTCTTCTCCGATCTTTTCTCCAGAGAGTCGTAGATGATGAACGAGTTATGGTGGCACATGTAAGCTAAAACCCATACGTCAATGTTATAATTTTTATGATGAAGGTTAAACCTAATGGGGGTGTATATTAAAGTAGTGGCATGTAGTGTGATCATATATCAATGTTTGAATGTGTTATAAGGTGAATAGTTAGTTTGATCCAAGAATATAGATTTATTATGTTGGGACAATTTTGAAAGCTGATTGTCATACATCAAAGTCAGCATTAATGTTAGAACTTTTCAGATGAAGATTGATGCTTATATGGTATCAAAGTTTTTTTGAAGGGCTTTTTGTTGTATATCGTATATCGATGCTGTTTTTTTTACGAATTGCTGTTGTAATCCAATTTATTATGCAAGCAGAATCATGTAAAATAGGGGTCTCATACATAAATGCCAAATGTTGGCATATCATTCACAAAAAAAACTCCCTCGTTATATAGGTGGGGTGACCAATGACAGCTCAAAACAATGCCCATGGTGTGTGGAAAAAGTTGAGACAAATACATGATTATCTGAGACATAATGGCTTAATAGTCTATAACTCTGGGAATGTTTTAAGTAGTACATGCTCTAAAAAACAAAATGATGAGCTTGGCAAAGCAATTTATGACTTTATAAAATGGGATGGCATTTCAGTAATTCAACTGGCCGTAATCAAGATATGTACAACCACTGAGGGGGAAATAAATATGCATATTACTCTTTTAGGATATTTTTTATTTATAAGAACATGTAAACCTAAAATGTATTATGTATTCCCCAGAGAACTCAATGTAAAATGATGAGGTTGATAACTGGCCAGTAAATTCCCCAGACAAATTATATATAAGTTATGCCATAAAAAATCAAGGAATGTCAACATTGACAATGATTTATGAGAAAGGAAAACAAAATTATGTGCTTATTCTGAAATAAGTTCAACTCAGTTCATTATCTTTTTACTTGTGTTTGCCTATACACGGACAAGAAGTTGACCTAGATTTTTTGGAACACAAAACAAAATAAGTTTGAAAGAAACAAAATGATCTAATGACACAAGAGAGTGAAGTATTTGGGTAGAACAAACCCCCATAAACACAAGGAACACTCACCAAATGCCATGATCCCCAGTGCAGAAGTGATGTTATAGTTAGCAAACTCCCAGGCGCCTTCTGTTGCAGGTCTTAAATATAATTAATACATATCCAAGTACATGTACATGAATATAAACTGATTGTAGGGTGGCATCATATATGTTTTGCACCAAAATTCTAAATGGTGACTTGTATTATTTGTTCAGTGGTAGAAAGTATAATCCTTAAATTCCATCACAATATTCCATTATGGTTATCAGTCTCAAACAGTGACAAAATGACATGCTAGAAGGCATCAAAATTATTGTGGGATAATTATGGGATAACAACTGTGAATATGATGACATATATTAAATATTTTTTTATATTCTCAAATGAAATCTATAAAAATTTAGATCCATCAAAACATTGAATCAAGCAACTTTATAATTTGAAGTAAACATGATGTACAAAATACTGTTTATTCCCTCTTATGCAGGTACTGTTACATGAATATTTATGCGATAAAATGTGCATATACCATTACCAACATGTTTATATCATAATGAATATAAGATTGTCTTACATGTGCATCGTGGCCCCGCGTATGAACATAAAGATCAATATGAAGACGAGGAAGACAATTGCGACTAAGGCATACTGCATCAACCAATCACATGCAAGAACAGGAATATAGCAAGATATAGTAAAACCTACATGTGTGAACATAGTTTTTCCTTAGAATTATTCTTATCTATATCCACAATGTGAGCATATCATGGTTTCACATATCACAGGTTTTACTGTAAATAAAGTTAAAATTATCAACAAAACAACAACAAAATTAGCCACTGTGGGTAATAATGCAAGGCCCCAAGAAAATTGTTTTTTCCCATATAAATCAAAGTGTCAGATCAGGTTTTTCTCGAGACCAAGCATAAAACTGCATATTTACTACTATTATTATGCACCTTTAAAAAGCCTAAAAGTGCATAGAAAAAAACTAATCAATCATTTCATTTGATGTGATTTTTTAAAATATCAACTGCCAATCAAACAGCACGATTGAAGATAGGTGCAGCATATCTCCAAGTGCATGGATTCCCCCATATCCCTCCACTAGGGAGGCTTTAAGGAGGAAACTCTCCAATTCAAGAATGAAGGATTTTCTAGATTTTCCTTCAGAGGTGAAAATGAATTATCTTGGTATTAGTATACTTTTGTGTACAATAATCCAAGCTTTAAGAAAGTGCGACACAATTTAGGGTGCCTCTAATCCCATATCCATATTTACAACTCCCCATCATAATAACCAAATTGTATAATATTCGCTTACAGATAACTATACCGAAACATTTGGGCAACAACGATGCTAATACCACATATATGCATAATATTAGCAAATAGGGACACCTGGAATATGATTGAATAATTGTAATTCTTCTCACTTCTCAACTTTAGCCTCAGATTCAGATTTTGGGAAGCTACGGCTGCTGTACAGTTGTTATGTTTTATGTAGGTGACAAGGCATTCATTTGGTACATTTAAATCTTTCAAATGAGCATAATGCAATGGCAGTGACTGTCAATAGATGGCGCAGTTTAAAAGATCAGTAACACGCAAATATTGCTTCAAAAATTTCAAAAATCTATTGCATCATTAATACCTCAAACAACTTGACATCAAATCCTCCTTGATGTATAAAGACTATAGTGCATAGACAACTACTTTTAATTTGAGTATTCCAAATGTATTTTATATCATATTGGAGCAGTATTTACATTTGAAAAACAATGCCATCTAAACTGACTCCAAGCGCAATAATCTGGTGTTTGATGTACAACTAAAAGTGAAAAAGAAAATTATATTTTATATTGCTACATACATGCATACAGTGCTACGACATATGTTTGAGGCAAAGAAAGAAACCGCAATATTTCCAATCTCTCTCAATACAGTACATTGTAGTTATTAGAAAATGCCATTTGTAGATGTGTCACGGATTCTTGGTAATGTCAAATCTCTCAAGACTTTGGATGCGTAGGGAATGAGCATTGTCAATACATTAATTATATTCTGTTTACAGCATATTGTGAAATCACACATGAGTGATCCCTATAGGAAATTGGATATTCATTTTGCAGACATTTATACTTGCTTATACAATTCCTTTAGTTTCTCAAAATAGTGTTTCACCTGGAATGTGTCTCACTTGATTATACAGAGGTACGTTTTGCAGCATTGAACAGGATTAGTACTTTTCCATTTCTGGAGATGATCTGCTTTTTTTTTTATTAAAGGCCCCATATAAAGTTTAAACCACTTTGGCTTATATTGTAGTCTTACCCAATGTTATCAAAGTGTGATATGTGAAACTTTTTTTTAAAATTTCATAAAGTGGTTTTTGATAGACTTTTTGTTCCAAAATTTGTGAATTTATTTAAAACCAACTTTTAGAGGTCACTCATATCTTCTAATTAGCCACAATTCATACCAATGCATAGCATTCATCCTCCCATGTTTTTTGCCGAAAAAATTAAAAAAAATCGGTTCATAAATATGCGAGAAATGAAGTTATCAGTGCATGAAAATGGTTCTGAGAAAAATGCATTTCAAAATTTTAGTTCTCATAGAAACCAATGGTACAATGGTATCTAAAACATAATTTATTCTTCCTTTTAACCTGGTTAGACAATCAACATTGGTTTTTATGAAAGTCTAGCATATATAGAAAAGATTGACATCAAAAAAAAAATTTCAATTTTTTTCAAAACGTTTTTGCTACCTTAGTGACATCACTAATGTTTCAAAATATTTTTGATATGCTAAAACATTGAAGTGGCCCATTAAATATGGCATTTTATTATTGAAATAGTGTGTCCTTTGTTCAATCTTTGCATTGATGTTAAAAAGATAATCTTATTTGAAATGCTTTAAGAAATATTTGATGATTAAGAAATTTTTTTTTTGAAAAATGGCGGGAAATTTGAATATTTGAGAAATGAAATGCTCACAACTTTTTTTTCAAAATTTTTTTTTAAAAATCTTTAAAATCACTTTTTAAGTCCTGACAAATAGTAAATGAATGATAAAAAAATATTTTCAAACTTTAGACGGGGACTTTAATAGTCAATATTTATTTTTCAATAAGTAATTATTGTACAAAACAGGTATATTTCTGATTTATCAAATACATGTATAAGAATATAATTAACTAATTGATAGTTTTGTGTAATAAATATGCATATCGTAACTAATTGATAGTTTTGTATAATAAATATGCATATCGTAACTAATTGATAGTTTTGTGTAATAAATATCCATATCGTAACTAATTGATAGTTTTGAATAATAAATATGCATATCGTAACTAATTGATAGTTTTGTGTAATAAATATGCATATCGTAACTAAAAGTTTTGTGTAATAAATGTACATCGTACATATTTTCTTAAAGCAGCATCGTTCTTGACTAAATATCATATTAAATATGTAAAATCAAGTAAAGTGTCATTAAAGAGGAATACAGTAAACATGCGAACATGTAGCAGTTATAGAGAACAATGCTAGATGTGAAGCAGCTCATTCAAATCTAGAAAATGTCATGGATTCAAGAATGGTGACAAAATATCAACAACAGTTTTGAAGTTAATTCCTAATGCCAATTCTAATTTTGATAAAATATTACAAATCCTGATTTACTTACATGCCAAGCCCCAAAAATCAATTTCTTACTAGATACAAAATCATTGCTTTACCCTTTCCCCACTTTACAATTTTTGCAATTTTGTAACTCCACAAATGTTGACATTTGGAAACAATCCAAATCAGCCACGAGCAAAACAATATTTTAAGCATGGCATACATTTATAATTGGGTAAATTCATTGAATAAAGAATAGCAGAACATCCAATGGCATTCCTTCATACACTGCACATGTCTATAGCAAGCCAATAGCAAAAGGATCGACGTGCTTCGCTTTTCCCCTCCCATTTGGAGAAAACGTTCTCCATAATCACGTCTTCAAATTCATTGATTTATTGATATGAGGTCGGAACAACCAGAAACCTTATAAATCAGGATGAATTATCATGCAATTTTTCAAAAAAGAGCTCTCGGAAATATCAATCCAATCCCATTTGATTTGGCAAAGGGCGGTTTAAGCTAGGACATTCAAGGTCAATTTTATGTTTAACGTCCTGTTTAGACTGTTTGGGTTCACATGAAGATTAAAATGAAGATAATTTACTGAAGTTGAAAAACATATAGTTTTCAATCTCTTTGACTGGACCACATTATGGTCTTAAATCAGATCACTATTTTTAGGTATCAAATGTCATATTTGTGCACTTAAAACCTCATTTCCTGAATGGGTGCCTCAATCAAAGGAGGTAGGGGACGTTAAACATATATTTATCTTTGAATGACCATACAGACACGTGTACAATGTATGCATGAAAAGTCTGGATAGAATAGGAACAACACTTTGTGATGTACAGTAAAGCACACAGCCCCAACATGCCAATCATTTACTGGGGCTGCGCAATAGATGGCTTACACCATATCTTTCATAGTAACAGCTTTACTAATCATTGCCCCAATAATAAACAGGATCCCTAACAGCGCAATCAGAGACACCTATAAGTAAAAATAGAAACTAATCACCAATCTGTAGAATAAAAAATAAAAATAAATATTAATAAGTTATTCATAAATCCAGGATAGCAAAACAAAATAAGGAAAGAGAATCATTATTCAATAAATATTAAAAATATAACAAGAATGACATAAAATAACAGAAAAATGTTAGTATGATGAAACAAAGAATTGTAAAGATTACGAATCCTGTTATGTTTCATTCATAATTTTTTCACATTTTGTATTTTATATTGCAACGATACTTACACAACAAATTTATGTTCCTCATTTATATTGTTTATATTGTATACTATATTCTAGTACAATAAACTCATTCAATTTTGCTATCTTACATCAAGTGGATTTGCATATTTCTGATACAATTAAATATATTTTGCGATATAAGGTTTCTTATCATATTTATTTAATAGAAATAAAGAAAAATTCTGATTATAGATATTGGATATTCTTCCAAAAAGTCACTAATTTCAAGAAGCAAATATGAGAAGTTGGACATAAGAAATATTTCTTTACCTTGCTAAGTTTGGCTATATTCTGATAGAGACTAAGCGGTAGTGTGAATAGTAGGGTTACTATGACGATGATAAATTGCCTATTTCCTAATATGGAATATCGTAGAGATTCTGGAAAATAATTATTATACGGTTAAAATTGTAATTATCACTTCTGAAATATTGTAAGGAATCTCGCCATAAATGATGTATCTTAGATTTAATGTGTTAACAGGAATATTCAAAGAGAGTAGCTACGCTAAGAGCCACATAGGGATGTATGTAGAAAGTGAATTATTCCCCAGAGTAAGTAGGAATAAATATTAATGTCTGAATTCATATTTTCTGAGTAATAATTGGCATACCTTTATCATAAATGAAAACTTTACTACATTGTACAATTATGTGATAAAGTTTACCAAAATTTTTTTTTCTTTTTTTCAATTTTATTATAGAACAATTAATTACTGATTCATTTGTACAAGTACATGTACAAGTACGAATACAAGGGGATACATGGTGATCATTTGAAATATGAGTACTGAAAATTCGTACCTCCACCTAATCTGACAACTATTTTTGTGATTGTGTCCCCAATGATGATATTATAACTAATCATTGCTATGAGGGGATAGAGGAACTGCATTATAGTCAGCACATAGAACCCTGGTCTCCCAAAAGCTGCACGCACCAAGTCCTAGAAAATCAAAGAACATTTAGTTATTAACTCCTTGAACACCCATCATTTCTCACTAAAATGGCTCTACATCTGACATTGCAAAATCATATATCAAAATGTGTATAGTTGGTCAGATTTTGTGTATTTCTAATGCTGCATTTGGTGCTTTCTCAAAATGGTTCCCTTCAGTTCCGTCTGAATGAATAAAATATGATGAACAATTTTAGTACTATTGATCGAGCTATATCAATAATTTGTTGTTACCTGATACGAATAGGTGTTAGACAGTTCCCCTCCATGGATTAACAAGATCAGGGAGTAATCTACAAACAGAATAAGTAATTTTCTAGTCTGGTATGGCATTATTTTTGCTTCTTTATTCATTAAATTCAAATATAGTCGATATATGAAATATTTATATTCGCTAAATCATTTTTCCATTCGGTAAAAACGTTTATTTGTTTGTTACAGCAAATTAAGTTTTCAAAATAGCCAATCACTTAATACAATGTGCATTAAATTACATATTTCATTCGTTAAATGATATTTTTGCGTAAATTGTTATGGTATTCCTTAAGAGTAACACATTATATGCACAATGTTGAATTTCTATTTGAACCCTACCGAAATAAGTTTGCCTATATTTACAAAATGGTTTATTTTTCTATGAAATAGTGAATGCATTTTACCGAAAGCTAATTTGCTATTTACCGAATGCAATAAAGTAATATTCGATAACTTGCGTTGTTGTTCGATATTTTGTCACGTGACTTCGAGATTTGCAAAATGGCAGCGCAGCTATTCTACATAGTACAAATATATCACGTGACTGAAAGTCTCGTAAATTATCGAAAAATAACGAAATTTATCGAATGTGGCATTCGGTATTTACCGAATATAAATAATTTAAATACCGAATGTACAAATAATTAATTGAATTATACGTACGTTAAGGAAAACAAATTCACTGCATTACACAAATACATGTATAAATATCAAATGTGAATTGTCAATACAAAGAACAAGTGAAACTATTTAGCTAATATAAATTGTATAGATTATTACATTTGATAAAATAAAAAAAACATTCGATAGATTGGGTAAAGGTTTGGTAAATTGTTTGTTTTATTTGGTATTTATGGAATAGTAATGTACCGAATAAAGAAGCAGTTTAAACACCATAGTCTGGTAAAATCGCTTAATACATTTTTGTCTTTGAGGGAGTCACACTACAAATTGTCATGACATAAATTGAGAATAAATAGTTTCATCATCAAAAGATTCTTAAATTATTAATGGTTACACCAATCTACAGAAACACGATCTGAAAGCTCATAAATATTTAAATTCTGCATTATGTTGTTTTAATTTGTGAATGCTGTAAGGTAAGATTGTGTACTGAAAACAACACCCTTTAAACAAAATGACTGTACAGTAAAACCTGTCTAATTTGAAGGTCACTGGGACAAGGCAAAGGGGTTCGGATAAGCAAGTATTCACATTTCAAGGTTCTTTAATAGTGTGAATAAAATCTAAATGGAAATAACATAATTTAATAAATACTACCAGATTCCAAATTAATCTCTCTAAGATTTGAAGTAAAGTCTGTTTAAGTGAAACACCTTTGGTTCTCCTAAAAAGTGTTCCACTTGGGAGGTGTTCCACTTTTAGAGGTTCATTTAACATTAAGTCAGTTGGTCTTGAGACTCTGAAAAGTGTTCCACTACCATGTATGTCACTTCCAGAGTAATTCCACTTTACAGGTTTCACTGTATGTGATTTTCTAACATTTCTATACTATTTAGAGTGTCAATTACAAGCCTGATTACTTTATTTCTTGCTAATTTGACACTTCTGTTCTCAAATTTACATTTGAAGACATGACCTTGTTGATTTATATATGGTATATATTTTTTGGAAACCACACTTACCTGTCATGATAGAGACTAGAATAAGGAGAATTATTCCCATCCCAAATCCTGCCTGCTTTAGGGCAAATGGCATACCTGGAATACAGAGTGTAATGGTGCTTAGTTCTGTATAATAGAATATATTCAAGTCACCATGTTTGTTTTATTATATATACAGCAGTGTTGTTCTCAGAATGTTTACCTCAAGTGGAGGCAAAATTCTCATTTTCACAATTCTCACCAAAATTGGTCAAAATTTCTCTCCTTTTCAGGTGGTTGCAAGCCTCGTTTAATTCTACAGAGAAGTGCCTAATTGTTTTAAAATCAATGTTATATGGAGATCACTGAAAAGTGTGTCCTATAAAAATAAAAGTGGTCTGATCAATAAATTTAAATTAACAAATATCATTTAAAAAAGGACATCCTAGAGTCTGGCAAATTTTCATCAATAAAACAAAACTGGTATTTTCAAGTCAAATAATGTAAGAAATCAGGAGTTGTCGTGCCAACACAAGACTAAACTGGACTCGAAACGGGCCTCTGGTAAAGAGTACAGTACCTATGATTCCAGATCCAATGATGGAGTTGATGAAGTTAAAGCTGGCCATGGGAATGTTACTTTTCTGGCGCTTTTCCTCATCATTGTCCACTAGCTGGTACATATCACTAGCATGACTGGAAGTAGGGGACGAGGGGGCAGTCTGCAAGTGGGAAAAAATTTAATGTATAATATATATGATATATATAATACAGAACACACATATTAAATAATCAATATAATAGCACTATACTATACAAGATCATCAAATGACAACACGTCTTTGCAAGCAATAAATGATACGTTGGTGAATTTCATATTTCACTGTAGGGAAACTAACTAAATGGGTTTGGTTTCATGATTCTGATAATAATTGTTTTTTGTAACAATATACTACTTTCATGTTACATATTACATTATTAATATTTTCAGGTACATGTATAACATACCCTCTAAACCAATAAGATTATTTATCTGTTTTGTCATGTTTCTCGATTTAAGTAGCCATGACCATGAATTATTTAATTTACCACAACAATATTCTGAATGCATGTTAGGTTTTCAAGAAAATAATATACAGTAGTTATAAAAAATGGTAAAACGAGAGCATTTTTATCAGAATATATGGATCGCCCCTTGTAGTTATAGTTTATTTTGTAATATGACATATTAGACATTACAATTCATTTGAACATGACACTTTCGGTAAAGTGGGCGTATAGATGCCTCAAATGTTGTGCTGAGCAAAAACATTTTATCTAGATACAAAAACACAATACAGCACTTTCCTTTATAAAAATAGATAAAATATAAAATATGATCTTAATACCATGTAATATTATCCTTGGGATATTATCATTAATCTTTTTCAAGTAGTCCTTTTTATGTTGTGTTTTAAGGAATTCAAAGTTTTACAAGTTGGGAATTCAATTGGCAAACAATTCCATATCAATGCCTTGATGATATTAGGTACTCTTGTATGAGTCAAAAGGAGAATGGAGATAGAGAGGATTTAAGAGAGCTGTTTGGATATACCGGTAGACATTTGCCTGAAATATTACAAGATTAGATAACCAATTATTTCAATCGGATTGGATTGTGCAACATCAATGTCAAACAGTCTGGAATTATCTTAATGATTTTATTTAATGGAGATTTGCAATTAGATTTTGTTATAAGATAAAATACTCCACGCTTCACATCTTCATAAAAATATAAGAGATTTTATAATGTCATTAATCAGTGTGACCCATCCTTAAAATAACACTGTTCCCATGTAGTGAAATTCGTGAAAGAGTGCACAATAGTGCAATAAAAGAGGCATTTTGGACATAGGTATTAAATTCACACCTTAATGATACAGATATGGCAGAAATTCTATATAACTCATATACATTTCTAAAGAAAACCGTGAATTAAAGGAACACTTAAAGCATGGATTAAGTACAATTTCTGGAAATGAAACCAGTAACAATCCCCTCATTTAATGCCATTAATCACCATCTAACAGTGCAATCATTGAAGCATAGAGTCTGCATAAATGTAGGGTATCGATCAGTGGGATAAGCATACTAGGGGGTCGTGGCATAAATGTAGGGTATCAGTGGGATAGGTGTACTAGGGGGTCGTGGTAACAATCACCTTTTCGGCATAAATGTAGGGTATCGATCAGTGGGAAAAGTGTACTCGGGGTCGTGGTAACAATCACCTTTTCGGCATAAATGTAGGGTATCGATCAGTGGGAAAAGTGTACTCGGGGGTCGTGGTAACAATCACCTTTTCGGCATAAATGTAGGGTATCGATCAGTGGGAAAAGTGTACTCGGGGGTCGTGGTAACAATCACCTTTTCGGCATAAATGTAGGGTATCGATCAGTGGGAAAAGTGTACTCGGGGATTGTGGTAACAATCACCTTTTCGGCATAAATGTAGGGTATCGATCAGTGGGAAAAGTGTACTCGGGGGTTGTGGTAACAATCACCTTTTCGGCATAAATGTAGGGTATCGATCAGTGGGAAAAGTGTACTCGGGGGTTGTGGTAACAATCACCTTTTCGGCATAAATGTAGGGTATCGATCAGTGGGAAAAGTGTACTCGGGGGTCGTGGTAACAATCACCTTTTCGGCATAAATGTAGGGTATCGATCAGTGGGAAAAGTGTACTCGGGGGTTGTGGTAACAATCACCTTTTCGGCATAAATGTAGGGTATCGATCAGTGGGAAAAGTGTACTCAGGGGTCGTGGTAACAATCACCTTTTCGGCATAAATGTAGGGTATCGATCAGTGGGAAAAGTGTACTCGGGGGTCGTGGTAACAATCACCTTTTCATCAAATTGTGCATGAGGAGAATAGCTTGATTTATTTTTAAGCTTAAATAAAGCTTCAAAAAGCGGATTACAGGAGTGTATTCAACCATGTTCTAGACAATGTAATGATGATACATGTACACTCAATGGAACTTGTTAATTAATTGGAAGAACAAAGGGGGATTTCAAGGACTAGGAATAATCTGAAAACTCTTTAACAGTTAGAACACACAAATAAGAATCACTTTGAAGATTAACCTCTTCAATATTAATATTATACATATGCTCATTCTACAATGATCTAAAGGAATGGGAGGGAAGTTTTGAGGAAAAGCCACTAAATTTTTTGAAAAGAGCCTGGAAAGGAATTTCCAAAAATATTATTTAGCCCTCACCCAGAGGGGGAGAAACACCAGGGTTCAAAGATGACTTACGCTTATAATGTAAATCTGTATTGAGATGACATCGTCGCTGATTGGTCAAAAGTCGACAAACAAATGACGTCATCAATGGCGATTTAAAAATTTTCGAAATACGCTTCGAATAATATTATGTTCATTTCTGGCGTGTTAACCAATATCATAGCTTCTCATTTCACATCAAGATAAAGAAAGGTGTACGGAATATGCTTATATCAATTAAAAGATCCCGTCGAAGTGTAGTATTTGATAACTAGCCGATGAAAATTCGAACGAACGAAGGTGGTAAGCAAGAGAAGTAATTATGTCTGTCATCTTTAAACTCTGGGACTTTCCCTCCTCTTGCCCTCACCCTTCAATTTGTTAATTTCACTTCCAGATCTGATCCTGACTAAACTAAACGCTAAACTTGTTTTCAATGTGACAATAAAATGGTGGAATAAGGTATGGTAATATACTTCAGTATTCTGATCAGGAAGGATGGGAGTGCTATTTTATCAAGTATGGGATTAAAGTGATTTATCAATTGTAGGAGCTTACTTCAGGTGATGAGCTCGATTTATAACTATCATTATGCTACTAAGCTAGTACATTATGCAAAATAACTAGTTGGTAGCAGTCGTAAGTGCTTAATTAAATTATTAAAGAGCAAATGCTATGAGGTAATATCATTAGTTAAGAGCTAAAATCTCTGAATTTGTTAGATCATGAAATTGTTAGCATGATAGCCTAATCAAAGTTACCAAGCAATTGGGATTTTGTGAGGTTGTTATACAACTTTGATTCTTACTTCTTTCCCGAACAATCTGGATTTCTCATTTGATAAAGAAAAGGTGCTTGATTTGCTCTAAAATAAACAAAATGTGACAAAAATATCAAATTTTCTTACAAACTAAAATAAAGCAAAGATTAATTTGAAATTGTATCTTTTCAATACAACTGATATTAATAGATTATTTTTATTAGGATATTTTAGTAACTAAAACAAACAAACAAACAAACAAGCAAATAAACAAAGTACAAAAATTTAACTGTCATTTAATGCCTGCATTGCAATTACAAGAGGTGTCATGGTTACCAAAAATGTAAACAATTTGATAATACTTCTGTTCCAAAACAACCTTTTCCCACTTTGCAGTCAAATGTACTAAACAGATTTATTCACTTCTCTTGTTCCATGAGTATAATGTACAATAGGGGTTTCATTAGCAGCAGGCAACAGGCAATTTTCACCGGCTGTTTTCTCAAAATCGCCTGCTGTTTTTAGGGACTTTTCCATGTTAATTTATGATTTCCATTAGTTTTACCTGTTGTTTTCATCTATTTTGCCTGTCGGGGGAAATTTAGTGAAACCCCTTATAATTGAGATAAAATAATCAGGAATATTAATTATATTATTTATATTAACATAATACCTAATAAATGTTTAGTAAAAGAAAGTCAAAATATGAATTATTTTACCATGCTGTTATCACGACTGAGTATGTGACTCCCTTCATCCATATCCATTCTGGAGTACTGCATCTTCTAGGCCTTTGTCTATCTTCTAGGCCTCTGTCTGTCTTCTAGGCCTTTGTCTATCTTCTAGGCCTCTGTCTGTCTTCTAGGCCTCTGTCTGTCTTGTAGGACTCTGTCTGTCTTCGAGGGCTCTGTCTGTTTTCTTGGCCTCTGTCTGTTTTCTTGGCCACCTTTGTCTTCAAAGTGCTCTTCTAGGCCCCCCAGACGTTTACCCTAGAAGCAAAATATAAATGATTAATAGATTTCATAATATTTTGATGTGCATTTCACATCCTGGTATGAGTTTTACATGGCAAGGTGCTTGCTCTGATACTCTACTTGCATGATCTGTATCTAAATATATGGTCAACAGACTGAGATGACTTGACTGAATCAATAGAAAAATATCTGATTACATTTCCCAGATCTCGAACAGAATTCATATAAGACATGATCAAGTGCACTTGAATCATTGCTTTTTGTGTGATCAATAGTTGGATAGAAGATTACTCTGTGAATAGCTCTCAAACAGAAATCATTTTTTGACAGTTGCTACTTTTGAGCAGCTTTAATAATGGGATTTAGTGATTGAGGTTCGGATGACATAAAATTGAATCGGGTCTCAAATAGAATGCCAATAAGTTACAATATCTGGCGATCTTACAAGCCTTGGAGTGTTTCTTTAGGTTTAATTGTACTGAATCATTTAGTAGGTGATAAATCATGTATTTTAGGTAGGCAGGCTGAATTGAATAAATGTAGAGTAAAAGCAGGGAAATATGAATGAGGGAGATGAAAAATAAAAGAAATAAAAAATAAAAAGAGAGTTGATTTATAAGCAGATTTAACATAAGTTTTGTGGCTAAGAAATACAGTTTAAAAGATATTCTCCAATCTGCCTGGGAATTCGACTTTAAATAATATCATGTAGGCCTACAAGTGCTTTAAGAGTAGGGGATTGACTAAATAATCCATACATTTTAACAGCCCCTCGGGAACCATACATTCAAGAAGTTGTTATTTCTAAACTATTTCAAAAACATGTGGAGGTGTACAATGCACCCCTAGTGAATATAACTACACAGAAATCCAATCTATATTTGTCTTTCAAAACAATAGCTTCATTAAAACAAGATATCTTTCAGGATGCGAAGCCTGTCATTAGTAAATCTAATCATGTTCTTTTTCTCCCATGTGACTGCATTGAAAATTCTAATTAACCTGCACAAATAAGTGAGCAACAAGTGACAGGCCCAATTACTCGTACAATGGGAAAATTTATACTGTTGAGCCATTAGAGAATTCAAAAATGTCAGAGTTTCTATGGTGTAAATGCATGGCAAGGAAAGATAAATATATGCATCAAACATTTAGGAAAATTTCGAAAGCACCTTGAATACTGATAGTTGACGGAGAATACTCCAGATAATTTCAGTTGAGTGTACGTGACATAATGGCCCTACAATTTTAGAGTTTTCAAACAGCAAATAGCAATTTGAATCATTGATCAAATATCTCAAATCAACCAATTTGCAGTTATTGCTTTTTCTCCATTTCGAATTATATCTTTTAGCTTTAGGTTAAAGAAAGTGACGCTATAGTATGAATCCAGCTTGAAGTAACCAATCTTATTCTCCCTTCTCCCTTATCCGTATTTTTTATATATGCACTTGTAAGATATTATTAATGACAGATAAATGATCAAACAATTTGTTACACCTTTCCACCTTTGTGAACAACATTCTTCAGATTGTATAAGTGAAAATGATAAAGTATCCAAGGCCCTTGACCTTTAGCAAAGTGTTTGGCTTTTTATGTCAAAATCGTCAATTTTCCAAAAAACGAGATAACTTGAAAATGCCAATGACTAGTCAAATAGATATTATAGACGGGAATAAAAGAAATGTGCATTTGACCAAATATAGTATGAATATCAGTTTGAATTTGTACCATCAATTTTGATTTACAACTTATGAGTATGATACTGTGACAAACATCACAAATCAAATGACGTGAAACCCTCTAGTGAATGACCCCATTCCCATCACAGCTATTCATTTCCATGTAATTAAGGGGAAAGGATATTACCAATTATGGGAGCAGCTTTGTATCAATATTCACTGATGAAATATTTAACAAAGCAGGCAGGCTCATCAAATAGGCTTCATTGTCATTGACTCCTTGTTGTCAATATACGTATATCCCCTAAATGATATACTTGAGGGAATAAGTAGATAAAGTCAGTAGAGTAAGTCTCAAGAGCTCATTTTTACTCAGAGGCATACAAGCATTGACCATAAGAGCAAACCACAATAAGGTAATCTTTCCTCTAAAAATAAGCAGATATGTAATTTTGTAAAATCATGATTTTACTAGATAAGTAATAATACGACATAAGTATGTTATATATGTGACCAAATACTCAATAACTAGGTAATATTTGACAAAACTGTGTAATTTGCAACAAAATATCAAGTAACTAATATGTAAATAATATGTAAAAAAGAGAGAGCACTTTGATGTATGTGTCAAATTACCAGATAAGTATGAAATATGTGGAAAATACTAAACAAGTATGTAATATATGACAGAATGACTAGACATATAGAGGATATCCTATGATTTATGAGTGATATGATTTTTATCCACGAATGGATATGATATCTGCACGAGCGAGCGAGCGTAGCGAGAGAGTGCAGATATCAATATCCATGAGTGGATTAAAATCATATCACGAGTAAATCATAGGATGTTCTTTTTATTCCATAGTTAAAGTCATCATCAGAATCGTCGGAAATTAAGTGATTTATTTCGAATTTTCCAAACGATCCGGCGATGTTTACACTAAGCCTCGTTTTGAGTCTGAAGTAGCAAAAATCCATAAACCATCGCATACGACGTCGTATGTCATGGCTAAAAAACCGTATGCTATGATTAAGTGAAAATTTGTCAAAAATATCATATTTTACCACTGATTACAAAAATACCGTTTTTATTTCCACATGTTATGCTATGAATATCATGCTAACTATGGAATAAGTATGTAATATGTGACAAAATACCTAGACAAGTATGTAATATATGACAGAATAACTAGACATGTATGTAATATGTGACAAAATACCTAGACAAGTATGTAATATATGACAGAATAACTAGACATGTATGTAATATGTGACAAAATACCTAGACAAGTATGTAATATATAACAGAATGACTAGACAAGTATGTAATATGTGACAGAATACCTAGACAAGTATGTACTATGTGACAGAATAACTAGACAAGTATGTACTACGTGACAGAATAACTAGACATGTATGTAATATGTGACAAAATACCTAGACAAAATTATATACTGTATGTGCAAAATATTAGATAGCAAGTATGTAACATGTGACAGCACACTTGACAAGTATATTATATGTGATAAAATACTAGATAAGTAGTTAAAATCTGACAAAAATATCAAATACATTTAAATTGTATGTAATATGTGACAAAATACTGGACACAAGGAAACAACACATATAAGACAAAATACTACAGACCATATATGAAAAAACACTAGACAATTAGAATGTAGTATTCACCAAAATAGTAGACAACTAGTATAGACTACTATTTCCAATAAGAAGATTATCACAGATTTGAAGAGATACAGTCAGAGAATATTAATACATAATCAATATGTGGCTATTAATCAGGACCATTTCAAGGACAACACAAAACCATTGGAATAATGAAGCTTGCGAAGGCTGGAGGAAATTAGCAATTTGGCAAGTATCAAGATATTACCTCTCCATGCAACAACTAGCTATTTCCCTAACCAATATAGGAGAGTGAACAGGGGGGAGGGATTATTATATATGTACAGTAAAATATGTAAAGTGAAAACCTCTGTAAGTGGAACACATCTATAAGTGGAACACTGTCCAAACTCCAGTTATAGAGTTACGGGGTACTCAATGACTGAATTACCTTCAGAAATGGAACACCTCCCAAATGGAACACTATTTTGAGGTACCAATGGTATTCCACTTCCAAATTTTACTGTATATTCTGTTTACTTGTACACTTATGTCCCTTATATGTACATGGGAAAAATGGGAAGATGGGTTTGAATGTCACCTAACTCTAATTACTAATTTCTTGATCTGAAACTCTTACTGAAAAATACCAAATATATATAGCATATGCACTCATCTGAAAATATATTAGATGAACATAACAATCTATAAGCAAGTATACCAGAGAATAGACACTTAATCATTATACTTGCTAATGTTTCAATATTCGCTAATTCTACAGGAACGCAACAATTGTAAAGGACAATCCAAATCTATAAATCAACTTGGAAATTGCTCTTACGTTTGCTAAATTGTATTTGCATTTAACACCTATGCAAATATGCCATTATTTCACACACCTTTATCTCTGTGGAGTCTATTGATTGTCTTGTGTTCTTGGAATTAAGACAGCTAGGCTCCAGAAGTGCTCCGTCTGCTTAGAAGCCATATATAGTAATATTTATCACGAATAGACTACAGATTTTTTTAGTCTTATGGATGAAAGTTTAATATGTTTTAGTACAGTAAAACCTGTCAATCTGGAAACCTCTCTCATCTGAACACCTCTCAATGTGAACACTTTTTGCTAGTTGCTCTTTTTAATCTATTGAATCCAAATGTCAATGGGTCAACAAAAGTGTTTGAACTGATGTTCACATTTCACATTTTTTAACATGAGAGCTTGTGGCAGATTAAAGAATGGACCTTAAAAGTGTTCATATTGAGGGGTTTTCAGATCAGAGAGGTGTTTGGATATACAGGTTTTGCTTTATATCTATATGCCCACTCATATACCAATAACCTTATTTCAGAAGGCAATATAGAAAACTCATTAGTTGTCCTGGACCAGGGTGGATAATGACCACTATGGCCTGCCACTATGGCCCGGCACTATGGCTCCACCTATTGCTCAAGTCAAATAATAAACTTGTTCTAATACCCAGAGAAAAGGCCTCATAGATGGTGATAATTATCTTTTAGATTAAGTATTCAGGAGACATCGTGAAACTAATAATGTACAACAAATTGTTCTCTTTCAGGAAGGAATGTGAGTTAAAATATGACTTACTGTTCTTCCTTAGAAAACTATGGT